TGGTGCGGGGAGCAGGAACAGGCTGGACCGGGCTGACGACGCGCACCACTGGCTTGGTGTGGGGAGCAGGAACGGGCCGGACCGGGCTGACGACGCACACCACTGGCTTGGTGCGGGGAGCAGGAACGGGCCGGACCGGGCTAACGACGCGCACCCCTGGCTTGGTGCGGGGAGCAGGAACAGGCCGGACCGGGCTGGCGACGCGCACCACTGGCTTGGTGCGGGGAGCAGGAACGGGCCGGACCGGGCTGGCGACGCGCACCACAGGCTTGGTGCGGGGAGCAGGAACAGGCCGGGCCGGGCTGGCGACGCGCACCACAGGCTTGGTGCGAGGGAAAGGAACAGGCCGGACCGGGCTGGCGACGCGCACCACAGGCTTGGTGCGGGGAGTAGGAACAGGCCGGACCGGGCTGGCAACGCGCACCACAGGCTTGGTGCGGGGAGCAGGAACAGGCCGGACCGGGCTGGCGACGCGCACCACAGGCTTGGTGCGAGGGACAGGAACAGGCCGGACCGTACTGGGAACACACACCACTGGCCTTGTGCGGGGATCAGGAACGGGCCGGACCGGACTGGTAACACACCCCAGTACCTCTCGCCGTGCCTCTACACTCTCCTTCCCCCTCATGACCAATGGCCCCCGTAACCTGGTGGCCTCCTCTCCTAGTCCACAAACTCGCCCTGTAGCTGCCTCCAGCAGCCCCGTCGTCCATGCCGTGTGCCCCCCCCAAAAAAATTTATTGGGGTTGCCTCTCGCCTGTCCGACGACGGCACGGTTGCCGTCGAACCTCCTCTCTCGCCAGGGCCTTAACTTTTGCCCATGGCCCTCTGCCCGCGAACATGTCCTCCCACGACCACCATTCGCCCACCTGGGACATCGCCAACTTCTCCAGTTCCTTACCCGGCGTTTGCTCCAGAACACGCTGCTTGGTCCTTCTTTGGTGGGATCTTCTGTCACGGTCGTTATGAGAAGCGGACCAAGGCGCAGCGTGATAGGCGTACATACTTTTAATGAGTACTTACATCCACAACAAAACAACAAAACGATACGTGAAGTCCTAGGTAATACAACAAACCATACGGAACAAGATCCCACAATAAACTAGTGCCAACCGGCTGCCTAAGTATGGTTCCCAATCAGAGACAACGAGAATCAGCTGCCTCTGATTGGGAACCACCCTGGCCAACATAGAAAACACGAACTAGAACGAAACATAGAAAATACAACATAGACACTACACACCCTGGCTCAACATTAAAGAGTCCCCAGAGCCAGGGCGTGACAGTGGCATTGTGATGTGTGACAAAACTGCACATTTTAGAGTGGCCTTTTATTACCCCAGCACAAGGTGCACCTGTGTAATGATCATGCTTTTTAATCAGCTTCTTGATATGCCACACCTGTCAGGTGGATGGATTATCTTGGAAAAAGAGAAATGATCACCAACAGGGATGTAAAAATGTTAGAGAAATAAACTTTTTGTGCGTCTAAAAAATGTCTGGGATCTTTTATTGCGTTTATATTTTTGTTCAGTGTACATGATTTCCTCAGAAGACTTGAGTGAGTGGTTGCAGTCATATCATGTGTTGCATGTATGAGACTATGTTAATTGCATTTTGTTCCCCTACCATAATCCACCGTACCTGCTATGTAATGACCACTCCTCTGTTTCGTTAGTGCCCTATTCAAACTTGAGATAAGTAGGCCTAGGGATTTATTCAATTTGTATCGCGGAAGTTCAGCGTTACAGCGTGATTGAAATTTAAAGGCAGAGTTTTTTGATTGAAGTCCATATTTATGGCTCGATTCAATCCGTATCGCTGAAGTTCAGCACTATAGCACGATTTTAATGTAAAGGTATTTACCGATTGAGCCGACATATGCAGCGATTATCGTGAATGCATTCTCCACAAACGAAGTAACATTGCCTTTAAATTTCAATCGCGCTATAGCGCTGAACTTCAGCGATACGGCTTGAATCGAGCCCTTAGTCTACTTATCTCCAGTCTGAATCCAGACCTTAGTGCACAATGTTGGCCCAGGCAGCCGCCGGCTGTAAGTATGTACAGAGTTTATGTAAGATGCTCTAGTCGTGGGCTCTTGGTGTAGGTCCCATGTAGCTCAGTTGGTAGAGCATGGCGCTTGCAACGCCAGGGTTGTGGGTTTGATTCCCACGGGGGGCCAGTATGAAAAGATGTATGCACTCACTAACTGTAAGTCGCTCTGGATAAGAGCGTCTGCTAAATAACTAAAATGTAGATGTGTGTTAAGAGACGGACGATGATTCAAACTCCTCAGACTAACCACAGATTAACATGTTTCTGTCTGAAGACAATGGAGCAAACAAATGAAAAGATGCCTTGTAACATTTTGTATTGTATGAACACTGGGGACTGGTTACTGTAGAGAGATCCAAGCACACACTTTGACAGACAGTTCTGTTCTGATGAGTGGTTACGGCTTTCATCCTGGAGATATTTTCAGAGCACATGCTGTTGACATGTGGAAAGCTGCATTTGTCTGATATGGTTAATTGTCATTATTTTAAAAACATGGTTTCTTAAATACAATGCTTTTATCGGATGATTGATAATTGTTTTAGTTGAAAATGGGAAACCTCTCAATGAATATGTATTAACTATGTCAATACTGTGTCAGCAATTCACCAATATCCCTCAAGTAAAATGAAATCCAAATGTTATTTTTTATTTCAAATGTTAAACTAATTGTAATTGGTAGTGAATGATCTCTGAAGTACTTGAAATCTAATATTGTCATGTGCAGTGGCGATTTTAGCATGTAAATCTTGGCTGGGCAAAAACAAAACAAAAAAAAGTAGATACATGCCAGCAAAGCCACAACACAACACTAAACAATACATTAATTGCACTATAACAGTGACAAACGGTGCCCGTAAACTGTTAGGGCCTACATAAAGCTGTCCCAACAGCAGAGTCCCAACAGCAGTCCTGTCACACCAGCCTTCGACTGGGAGGGGTACGGTCCCGAAGAGTGGTGCTGGGTTTTGTCGTGGGACGTCCTGGACCATTCCGCGTCTCCGGGGTCGTCCCCAAGGTCGGCGGCGCCCCGCTGTTGGAGCAGCGCCTCAGGGGGGTACTGTCACACCAGCCTTCGCTTTGGCTCCCCCTCCTGTCCAGCTCAGGCGTTCGGCGTTGCCGGCCTTCTAGCTGCTGCCGAATCTGCTACTGGCAAACACCCTTCACTCATCAACTCCAGACTTGTCTCGTCAGCATTACACACACCTGGTTCCAATCCCCACTCTATCACTGTATATATACTCCCTCTGTCATTTGTTTTTGTCTGTCATTTTATATGTTGCTTGTTTTCCTGAGAGGTATCTCTCCTACTATTTCCTGAGTACGTTATATTTTGCACTGTGGGTTTCGTCCCGCTTTAAGCTATGGTGCTTTAATAAATTCAGTAGTTCTAAACCTGAGACTGCCTCCTGCCTACTCCTCTCTACACTTGTGACAAATCCCAACACCTTACCACTGCTACACCTGGCTATCAGTGGAGCCTTGTCTGGTAGCGAAACAGTTCATTCAACCTCATTTACTGCCTTTAAAAAAAACATAGCTGATATGGCTGACTTGCTTAAACAAATGTGGTTTCTACTGACAATTGAGATGTACAAACTATGGCATAAGGGGATGACGAGCGGATAAGAGGCAATCCGTCATTTTGATTAAGACATTAATGAGCGAGCTAGGACGGACGTAGTCGATATAACTATTTGTTCAGCACTTTTGAAATGTACAGCGACAGAATTCAGAACATCAGCCGTTCTTACAGTATTCTCCCTGTACACCAAGTCAGAACCGTAGGATAAATAAATAGGGCATATAAGCAGACAATGAAAGCTCTTACAATATTTGATTACATTTCTCTAAAACAGGTTATAGGCTACATGTGCCTCACCAAGTCAGAACAGTAGGCTAAATTAAGAGGGCAAAAGGGATCAAATTATTAGGGTGAGGCACATGGTCTACTAACAGCTTACTACACAACATACACTTAGTATTACTTTCTTAGCTACAGTATACATATCTCCCTTGCATATTACATAATTTATGCAGCAGCATACAATACATTTTTGGACTCACCTTGTTGTGCTGTGCTCACTTGAACAGGAACGTGGCATGGCGGTCCTTCGTGGGCAAAATCATGATGACGTCAGTGATCTTCAGGTCGGAGCTCTAGAAAGAGGCCTGAGTTCCCGACTTACAATTCAGAGTTGGATGGCCGTTCAAAACGTATTTTCGCAGTCGGAGCTCGTTTTTTCCTGAGTTCCCAGTTGTCTTGATTTCCCAGTTCCGAGTTTCCAGTTGTTTTGAATGTGGCAGAAGTCATGCTGGATTCACTGCATGGCCACCACAGAAAGCACTGAGCTAGGCTGAAACACCTGCATTTTGGAGCTGCCTTACTCAATAAATCAAAAAAGAGACCAAGTTTGTGTGCGGCTTTATTAACTCAATTATATATATATTTTTACATTGTTTGCAAACTGATGTGTGACACGTATTAATGCCAAAATACCCCTTCTTTTTTTTTTTAAAGCTCTACCCCACCTGCCCTGAATGACGGGTCGCCACTGGTCATGTGTCAGAGGATGCAGAGAGAATGATCAATCTTTACTTTATTAAATCACGTTTATATTTGACATTTTTTAGAACAGAATACATCTTCAACATAAAAAAGTGGAAAAACATGTTACTGTATTTTTGTGAGCATTTAACAACAATAACAAAAACATAGTTATCTTTTTAATTGATTCTTCAAAGGAATTATTGAACCACTTTAATGTGTATAACATACTTGCAGTAAAGCACAAGATCACAACATGAAAGTTACACGTAGCATTTCTAAATCAAGTGAAATATCATTTAGCATTTTATGTAGCATTTCTAAATGAACTGGGTGTAATAATGTTTTTGTTTTCTATCAATTCCCAATTACAATATGTAAGCGATGTCTTTAATCAATTAATATATATTTCTATTTTGCACAGAAGCTTTGATGCCATGTCCAGCACCTCTGATTCATTCTCATACTTGAACCTCTTATTTGGTATGTGTGGTGAAGGGTGGTAGTTTGGGTATTGAGTGGTCTTGGGGTCGACTCCCAGCTGTTTCAGTTTGCTCACGATGTTGGGTAGAGTGTCTAACTGGGGGCTGTAGCCAGATACCCGTTCAGCCAGGCTGGAGATGGAGCCGTTGTTGTAATGATGTCCGTGTCTTCTGTACTCTGCTGCCACCAGAGCCTTCTCCACGGCCTGATGTACCTTGAACAGAGTCCACTCTGTGGCCATGCCTCCTGTGTCGTTGTCAGCAGCGGCTAGGTCACACTGTGCTTGTCTGAGCCAGCGCTCAGCCTCTGCTCGGTTGGGTTGTGGTACATTTCCATAATGTGTCCAGAAGTTGTATCTAGTATTGTGTCCCCTGCTGTTGTAGAACCTCTCTCTCCCACACCGGTGGTGATGAGCTTCTTGGTTCCACTGGTCGTAGAAGTTTCTGAAATGTGTGTTCCACTGCTGTGAGGATGGTTTCCCTGTCCTGTGTGAGGATGGTTTCCCCGTCCTTCCGTTTTCAAGATCCTCAATTCTGTTTTTCAGATACTTGAATGCCTCTGTGGATAGCTGTTGGCAGTCTGGGTTTTTGTCAGGGTGCCACCTCAGGTAGAGGCGTCTGATGGCCTTCAACCTGTCCTCTGCAGACAGAATCCAAATCTCTGCCAGACATTTGTCTATTTCCTTTTTGGCTTCTTCCAGAGACTGTGGTGAGGTCTTTGTGGATGAAGACCGCGGCACAGATTCTGCCCGTTGTACCAGTTCCATGCACGTTGCTCCAGTGGAAGAGGATGAGAAAGGCTTATTTTCCCGTTTAAATTGGTAGAGATCAAGGGCACTGACTTCTATGACTTCATCTTTCCCAATCTGTATTTTGTATCTGTAGGGACTCTGTCCTGATTGGCCAGTTGGCACACACAGCTGTTCCACTATAACTGCATAGCAACAATGCTCCTCCTCGGCCGTCTTCTTAAAGCCAACGTATTCCCCAGATTCATAGTTGTTGAGGTAGCTCATGTCCAGGGCATCATGCCACTCTTCAGGAACAGGACTTCCTGGTTCCGGTGGCCCTTTCAAGGAGTCCTCAGTATCAGCAATATCATGGATTTCATTCTGCTCTAGCGTTGTCTTGACTTCCTCCATGCTATCACATGAAAGAAGGTGTCCTAGAACTAGCAGGAGGTTTGAGCCGAGAATGTTATTAAGAAGGGCATTCATCTCTTTAGTCAGTCTCATGATGATCTCACTCTTCACTTTGTGGGCCTGGTCCTCATTGTGTTTCAGGTAGAAGGTACAACCTTGCTGGCCCTTTTTGACGTACAGCTGTGTGACAGCAGTGGTGTCACTCAGTAGCTCCTGGCCAAGTCGAAGCACTGTTTCAAGGCTCTTGCAGCAGGTGATCTCAATGCTGCCAAAGGTTTTCTGACACATGGTGGCAGCATCGCCTTGTGATACCTTGCCCTGACACTGCTCTCTGATGAGACACACCAGACCATGCATGAAGGGAGCTGAGGACAGGTGTGCCCCAAACCATCCGCTGAACTCGCAGCCCACCCCGTACTCACACAGTTGCATGTTGGATTCCACCACATTCTCTACTGTAATCTGAGATAGCATTTTGGGTTGTATCTCCAGGGGCAACAACTGCATCATTTTATAATGTTCATACATGTCGTTCTCTAAATGGCAGTTGCTCAGTTTCTCCAGGAGTTTCAATTTGTCTTTCAAGGCACCCTCCAATCTGCTAACCTTGAAGACTGTGTCGTTGAAATACAGTGAGGCTGAAGGGTACAGTCTGCCATCGGTTGAAGGTAGATACAAGGTCTTAGGAATTTCTGAGGTCAACTGATTTTCTTGCAATTTCCTGATCAGATGAAAAAGCTGCTCCACAGCTCGCTTGACAGTTTTCACCTGATTTGGCTGAAGGGTCTGCTTGTCGGTGGAATCTGCATGGATTTCTTGTAGAACGTTGCAGTACTGCTCTGCAGTAGGCTCGTCTTTGACGCCAATTTTCTTGAAGAATTCTGCAAACATGACATCCTTTGGAGGAATGCGGTACAAATATGGCCTGAATTCCACATAATGAAGCAGTACCAGAGCTGTTTGCTTGGTCTTTACAAGTGTAGAATCATCCTCCACCAGCACCACAGGGAGGTCAGTCAACAGCTTGGGGTCAAACTCTATTGTTTGTAGATAGGTGTAAGATGTCCGGAACACTTCAGCTCGTGTTCCAACCAAGTCAGGAGTTTGGCATGGTGACTGACAGATGTTTCTGAGGTTCTCTGTCACACGTTCAGGAGGGGGTTGGTCAACTGCGCCTGCTTCTCTCATTATTTGAATATGCTTTTCATTGCAGTTTCCTAAGTGCAGTATTGGCATGGATGTCCAAATCAGGGATTGGTGGAGATCTTTTTCAATCAGACAACCTCTGATTGAAACTACAGTCCTCTTTCCTGCAAATGACTGGTGGTAGTTGCACAACCTCTTTTGAATTTCCACAGGAAAAACAAACTTGATGTCAGCAATCGTTTTCAGAAAGTCTGATGCTAGCTTTTTGACATCCCTTTTCAAAATAGTTTCAAACAATGTAGACGACATCAGTTTCAGGTCTTTGAGGCTGGCTGTGCCTTTGGCATCCAATTCAATTTGATGAGCAAATTCAATTATTTCCTCATCTGACACAGTGCACTTCAATCCAAGTACTTTGAGCAGTTTCCTTGCTTGACTCTTGACAGATATGTTCCCTCTATCATGAAATTCATTCCAGAAGCTTTCTGGCACAAATCTTTCTTGCGGCAGCATCACCTTGTACAACTTCTGATTCTCATCAAAGAAGTAGGAGGCCATCTGCAGATTCCCATGGATGTCCCGAATGAATTTCACATTTTTCATTATAGAGATTATTTTATCATGGTACTGCTGATAGTCGTCTTTGTGTTGTAGTGACAACAACAGCTGGACAGAGTGGATCATTTGGTTTTTGTTTAGCTTGTGCAGGAAAGGCAGAATGAACTGGACATAGTACTCCAAATCACTTAAGATCTTAATGCTCAGGTTTCCTGACAAACTCTCATTTACTAAGTTGTATTTGAGGAAAATGTCGTTGTCACCTGCCATGTACAAATCTGGAAAGCTTTCCCTGAACTCTGTCTTGAGGATAAATACATTTCTGTGCCCATCAATACACTGCCGTCCACCCTGTATAGTTTCAAATAGTGGCAATGACTTGAACTTTCTCTGGTAGTCCTGTTTGTTTTTAGATGAGCATATCCCAGACTGTAGGAAAAGTTGAAGTTTCTCCAACTCCTTATCTGAACAATTCTGAAACTCTGAATGTTCCAGCTGGTAGACTTGGTCTAACACAGCACTGCTGTCACTTGTCCTCAAGAGATCAGGGAGTAGATGTTGATGCAGCTTCTTGTTCACTTCATGGAAGAATGGAAAGTCCAGTTTCATGAGACCAAGTTTCAGGAGAATTGATGAAATTTCTTCTTCTGAGAACAGAATAACACTGGACATCTTCCTCATTGTTTGTAGAACATGTTTGTTATTTAGCCTTGGGCACACAACAGGCAACATAGGGCAGTCAGAGAACAGCTCCTTGATCGCCAGCAGAGCCTGGTTACCGTCTCCATCCTTTGAAGCTGCAAGATTCCTATTAAAGAATTCCCATAGCTCTTTCAGCCATGAGCGTATTATCTGGTTTGGTACATGCAGCCTACAGTGTGGATCAGTTTCACAGTTTTGAAGGAGTTGCAGAAGTATAGGTTTCAAATACTTTGCTGCGACTGGAATTGTCAATTCTTTAAGAAAGTTCCCATCTTGTAGAACCTCAAAATGTTTGATGTTGGTTATGACATCAGCAAAATCCTCATGATGTCCATGGAACATTCTGTAAAATGTTGACAGAAGCTTGGGAGAGTCAGGGTCGAACACTCTAAGAATCTGATCTTGAGTGAGAAGCAGTGGAAGTCCGGTGACTGAACTGGAACTCTTCTTGTTAGCATCAATATAGTCGATACAGTACTCCAAGAGAATGGAGCATCTCTCTTTGTCTCTGATCAAAGTCTGGCCAATGGGTAGAGGTAAACCCATTTCAGTGTGAGTTGGATCATTCAGTGGTTTCTTCCTCAGGTAGTTACCCACTGTCAAAGGACTGACTATTCTCACTTCAACCCCAGCCGTTTTGAAGCTAGTCCATATTTTCTTCATTTTTGTAGATGAAGGAACCAACTGCATTCCAAGATCATCTAATATAGAAACCATGGATTTATTTTCCAGGCTCAAATGAGGTGCATCACTTGGTTCCGTCTTGCTCACACTAGACCACTCAATAGTGTACTCTGTTATTGACTGGTGTTGGACTTGTCGAGTTGAGCAGTGTAGCACTGGAATAAGGTCAAGTTCTCTGTCATTGATTGACCTGTACACTTCATGAATCATTTCATGCCAATCTTGGTCAGTCTTCTTGGTAACGGTGGGGAAGAAACACAAGTAAGAGCTGTCAAGGACTGAATCAAGATGTATGGAATTGACTTTCACTTTCTTTAGGTGACAACGGATGTAATTGAGAAGGCCAGCATACAATGGGGCGATGACGTTCAATTTCAGGGACTCATTCCAATCTATCTTCAAACTTTTCCCATCCTCTTTCCAGAAACCCCGTCTGGAGGAATCTACCTCAAAGTTTCCGTTGACATGGACTGGAAGTCCAGTTATACCAGGCAAGGGCAGGGTGCAGAATACTTGTCCAATGAAGTCATTCTGTTTAGGCCGAGAGCTTGTGTTGAGAATATTTCCTCTTTCTATAGGCCGTGAGCTTACACATGCTGCCAAAGCTGCCTGTGGAACTTTGCTAGTCTGTCCTTCCATATCAGTGTTTCCTTTAAAAGAGCCAAACTGCTCCGCAATGATCCACTGGCTTTGCCTTATACCGGATGATGAAATATTGACATTGTAAATGGCTTCATGTGGTGATGTTGGTCCGTGGGACAGCAGCGACTGTTGTACATGGTTTTGAAAAGAAACCCATTCTGCAATGCTCTTCTCATGAATACTTTTTTCAATCGAGAAGGTAGTCTTGAGCTTTTCTGTGTCTGGGTTGATTTCATGGAACTGGATTGTCCTGATGTTCTTCAAGAACATTATCAATCCCTCAGGGTCTTCACAGAGAGCTGAGGACAGTTCCTCCATATCTTTGTCATTGACCCCATTGTTGGATATTTCTGAGGTTTCTGCCATGGCACCAGTCCTGATAGGCAACCTAAACATGGTGCCTTCTTTAAGAGGGAATTCTTTTGGGAGAAATGTATTGTAAACATCCATGAAGGTGTTCTTACATTCCTCTGTCAATAAGATTTTGGCTCCAGGTGATTCTCGTGATCCTTCAACATACTTCAGATTGGGATCAGATATGCAGAGCCATTTGTCACCAGTTAGGATCGAAGGACAGTCAGTCAGATGGTAGATTGAGTTAAACCCAAGTCCATATTTTCCAGTTTTCCCTGGAATGTTGTGCTTTCCACCTTCTCCCAGCTGCTGAATACCTTGCAGATCAGCCTGAGAAAACACCTGGTTGTTGTACACACACAGTGCAGGGCCCTGCAGTGGATTCCATCTATTTCCAAATGTTCTCTGTGTGCTGTGCTTTCTTTTGTCCCAAACAAAGTGTATTTCTGTGGCGTCTGCATCATCAGCATTTTGGATGAGCTCCTTCAGGATATCCTTCTTTGAGGGATAAGCTGCAATTATGTTTTTAATGCGAACTGTCAGTTTCTCATGTTGTCCAAACTCTTCAGCAAATGGTGAGAAGTTATCTACTGAATGCTTTAGCAGTGTGTGGTGTCTTGTTGTGATCACCCCAAAATGAAGTGCAATGGCACGAGATATTTTTTTATGGCACAAAGTGACATCTTCTGACACTTCCATCCAGGGGCTGTCATTGAAATACAGCTGTTTAGATGGCTGCAAAACACCCCTTTCGTCAGGTATGAGACAGTCATCTTGGTTTTCATCTTTGGCCTCGTATAATCCCCTTTGGATTATTGTCAGACACATTTCTAGATCATTATTGGAAAGTGGGCTGATACCGTAGGCTTGGCTGAGTTTCTGCAGTACACCATGGAACTGTTCTGGTGTGAATTGCTTTTGGATGCATAGACATTTCCAGAGCTCCTTGAAACTGGAGAAGGCAGTTGGAAGAACATGAAGATATGGTTTAGCATCAAATTTCTCATTTTTTGCCACAGACTTTACATCTACAAACCTGTCTTCAACCAGGATAAAGGGGAATGAGTGTGCCCTCTCAAAAATGACAGTCAATTCCTTCTCATCATGCAGCCATTTATTCAAAAAGTGGTAGCAATTATGGGCTGTGTTGAAGAGCGTCTGTTTGTCACATGTTTCTGAGTGCTTGGATGCTTCTTGTAACTGCTGAAGCACTGTCTCAAGTGATGGGCTTTCACAAACTCCTAGTATGCGTAGCACTGCATTGTCACTGTGTATCTTCAGATTTAAAGAGTCTACCACAGACTGTGTCATGTCAACTAGATGGCGACATCTGTCACTGTAAATGTCAGTGGGCTTTTGAAGTCTGACCATTCCATCCTTCACTGCTCCACCCTTCCCTGCGTATGTATTAACTGGAGGACATGCTGGAATGAACACTGTGTTTCTTAGAGTCTCCCAGTGAGGCGAGGTGTCATCCTTTAAGGAGTCCCTCATCAACTCCAGGATGCACTGAAGATTCTTGTATGCTTTGTCTTTGTCTTTTTGCCAGATGTTGGCAATGGTCTCTGCTCTCTCTGTGATGTCCTCCAAAGGGAGCTGGTCACTCAGCATCCCCAGTTCTGACAGACGTTGAATCCTTTTAGGGGAATGAAAGTCATTTTTGGTCCCCCCGAGGAACCGTCCTTCCTCTTGCTCAAACAAGCATGCCACCTTTCCAGATGTATTCACAAGTTTTTTGATGTACTGGAGTTTTCCACTTTTCTTTGTAGGAATGCATGGGTAGCTCCTTAGTAGATTGTCAATGGCATCGTCCTTCAGGTCAATAGCATGCAACACAAGAGCATTCCTACTCTTCTGGTCCATAGTGTTCAGGTTGTTGAATACCACTTCTTGGTAAAATGCTTCCCAGTCAAATGTTCTCTGCTGGAGAATCTCATCTAAACCGGTCTGTATAAAGCTCTGTCTCACCCACAAAGGCAGAGGAACAACAAGATAAGATGTGTTTGAATTGCTTTGACACACCTTCATTGCAAGCTCTCCAACAGCTTTGTCCTCTTGAATAGTTGGGTGCAGAAATCTGGCTTTGTCCATTGAGCACCAGTTTTCCCCATCACTGAAGAGCTCCAGAGGTTTGCCAGAGATGTACTGACTGACAACCAAGTAAAATGCATCAACCAAGGGTTTGAAGGATTTGCTCACGTTCTCTCCATTAGGCCAAAAGGTATAGTACTGGTAACGTAGAAGGTGTTGATTTCTTGACATCTTCTTCAACACTAGCAGTGTAGTGACATATGCGGTTGTAACAGCATCCTGCAGGAGAGCTCTATTCCAGTCATATTTCACTCCAGTCTCCCACAGACCTCTCCGATTAGAGGTCACAGCAAAGGATCCGTTCAGGTTCACTGGCAGCCCTGTGGCAATAGAGAGAGGGAGGAAACAGAATGCCTGGCCAACCAGGTTGGTTTCTCCAGGGACCCATTTCCCAGTCTGTGGTTCTTTATTTAAAGGTACAGCAACACCTCCGATTGGCAAGGAGAGCACGGTCTGCTTATTGTCTCTCTGGACCATTTGTAAAGAATTCTTTGTCCCAAAGCAATTGTATAGGAGCCAGAACTGGACATCAGATCCATCACAATGTTGTTGAGTTAGTTCAGCTATGTTGGCTCTATGGCAGTCAATGACCTCTTGGCATTTCGCATCACGCTTCATCAGACATTTCAGAGCATCATTCTGCAATATTCCTAAAGGAGTGTCCTCTGGAATCGTGATTGTGTGCACAACCTTTCTGGTGGAAGTGAAGAGGTTCTCTATCTGGTCATCTTGAGGAGGAGTGGAAGCATCGCCCGGGAGGTTTTGAAGAGATACCATGTTGATGTTCTTCAGAAAGAGGAGGTGAGTTTGTGAGTTGTTTGTCAGGTCCTGTAGAAATTTCACTATGTCATCTCTGTCATACACATTTCCGCTGATTTCTGACTTGACAGCCTCCTCTCGTGTCCTGAAAGGTAGTTTAATGAGCGTGCCCGGGTAGAATTTCTGAGTGCTGTCTCTTGAAAGATTGCAATCAAAAATCCGCTCATATGGTCTGAATTGACCAGGAAACCTGTGCAGAAGCTGCTCCCGAGATAAGTTGAGCTTGATTCCAGGAATTGCTTTGTTTTGTATGTGCTTTTGCAGGTGTGTAACATTTGGATCAAGTATCAGAAGCTCGTTGCCACTGAGGATTGAGGGAATATCAGTCACATGGTACACCGCATTAAATCCAAGTCCAAATTGTCCTATTTTTTCAACCTTGTTTTCCTTTGAGGCAGATCCGAGTTTGACAATGTTTTTCCAGTCATCCTCAGTGAACAGCTGGTTATTGAAGGCCCAGAGACACGGTCCCTGACAGAGGACCATGCCTTGGTCTATGAGGCTGTCAGCAGGGTCTTTGTGGTCCCTGAAATCCACCATGAACTTACAGGTGTTTGCCCCAGCATCTTCTGCATTCTGAATGAGCTCTTTGAAGATGTCATTTTCTTCGTCATACTCCTTCAGAATGTTCTTAATCCTCAGAGTTATGGGCTCTGACTGCCCACATTGTTCTATTCCAATGAATTCTGGACGCAGGATCCGGGTGCTGAGGAAAGGGATGTTCAGCCACTCTGCCGTCGCTGGTGGAATCTCCTCGTGGATGACATGAATCTCCTCCTGGTCATTCTGTAGATCCTCCAGACCATCCCTGCTTATATCACAAAACACCGTTTTGGACAATGGTTGCAGGGTAAATCTCTGACTCCCTGCCATGACTGGCACTGGGATATCATCCCTGACGCTCTTCTTCTCTCTCCACATCCAGTTCAGAATGGCAATTGACACTTTCAGCTCTGAGGGTTTGCCAAAAGATTGGGGCCTTTTTTCAATGGTCTGTTTGATGTCATGAAGGATGTCCTCTATTTCTTTCTCTGAGAGTGATGTCTTCACTCCAAACTCTGTCAGCAACTTTTTGTATGGAAGAAATTCGTCTAGCACTTTCTCAATGTACGAGCTCAGATCCAAATCAGGTGGGTAGGCCAAGACTACATCATGAGGAAAAACAAAATGATTGTGTATCCACAGCCAAGGTATGCATCTCTTGTTCATCACTTCCCTGACCTCACAGATGTGATCTTGCATGTATTTGTAAATGCTATGCAGCTTGGTTTTAAACTGCATGTCTTTATCTGGATCTGTCATTGCCTTGGCCACAGCTGCCAGTGCTGACAGATTCTCCACAACCTTCTCAGCAGGAGGTAGGCGTAGCAGACCCAGTTTGCTGCTTACTTTCTGACTAAAGTCTCCTGTAAGAGGCATGACATGCCCTACAATGCCCTCGTACTTTGAATGTCGTATCTCCTCCGGCATGTAGAAACTTTTCCCTCTGTTCTTTTCTTTCATGATGCAAGGATTCTCACAAGGGACCCACTGCAGCTGTGATAGGTGCTGCAGCTGCTGATGCGAGAATTGGGAAAGCAGGTCATTGCCATTCAATAGTCTTCGAAGTGCTTCTGCTTTTTTGAAAGTATTTTGTGAGTGAACATGTGATTTCTCAATATGGGTGGCAACATGCAACACGTTGTCTGCTGACACGTCAGTTTCCTTTGTCTGCAATCCAAGACGTGTTAAGCTGTCAAGCTTCTCTGGAGTATTTGTGAACACTGCTGGAGGAAAGAATTCTCTTTCAAAAAGGACTTTGAAGGTTTCATTGTTTGGATCAAAAATATTGGAGGTCGTCTTCAGCTCTCCATCTACTTCGATGAAGCTCAAATCCTTACATTTTTTGTACAAGGTCCCATTCTGTGAGAAGAGGATACTGCCATGCTGCAATATCCAGGTCATGATTCCCTCTCTTTCTTGTTTCTTGAAATACTTATTCTCAACTCCATCAATCAAATGAATGGCCGCCTGAGCAGTATTCAGGAGATCAATCTTGAGCAACAATAGGAGCCTGCGATCAGCCTCAGTTGCACACCGGACAATGGAATCCGGCATGCGAAGCTCTGTGGGGAGAGCTGGGGTGGAACCCAAAACCACTGCCTGCTTGGATTGTGTGGGAACATATTCTCCGGCCATTGATTGGAAGAGAGGCATCTTTGAGAGCAGGTCTCTCTCGTGGACTGTGACAGAATCCAGAGTAGAGAGGTAGGCTTTGAGTTCCTCTTTCTCATGGTAAGGAGCAGACCTGATTCCACTGATGACCTGACTGGCAGCTAAGTTCATGAACACCTGTAGAGTGTTCTGAGGCGATGGTGGTAGTACGTACGAGTCAAGATCTTGGTGCTTTAGGCATATGTCTCTGTTAATGACTGTTCCCCCAACCTTCTTCATGACTTCCTCTATTTTGTCTGGTAAGATGGATTGCTTGCTTTTCTGAAAAATCATGGTTGGATTCTGTTGTAGTCTTGCAAGTATGACAAAATGGCTAGTATCGTGTAGCGGTTCGATGGGTATCAGTGGCATGCCTTCAAAACATCTCAGATCTACCCAGTGAGTGTTGAGACATTTCCAGAACTCTCTGAGCCACTTCAAGGGTGGGTGCTGACCACTCCCTATCTCCCAGGTGACATGACCTCCTGTCTGTTTCCAGTCCTTTGGGAGAGTCTTCTTGGCAAATGTAGCCACAATTTCAGCATCCACATTGAATACTTTGTATGTATCTAAAATGATGGAGATATGAAAATAACAGCCATGTGATAAACATGCAGGTATTTGCAATTCTACATGATATCCAAAACCTTTCATTGTTAAACATAATTGTACAATATATCCCCTTACTTGTTGCAGCTAGTTGCTTCAAATGTTGGATGCTAGTGGTGCTGAGATCATCAGGCAGAAACAGGTCTTTGCAACCTGGCAGCAATACTCTGTATGAAGAGAATACTTTCTTGTAAATTCTTAATGGAGAAAGGGCATGGATTATCCATATGAAAAATACTATACTGTATACAGGGAGGGAATTTAAGGATTTTGCGCACGGGCCAGCCGGGATAGAAGACTGCAATTTATAATAGCCCAGATGACATTCCACTAGTGAAGGGTCCAAAACTATGCCATGCGAAGACACATTTCGGGCATATTTTCTATTAGCCCTGTCTAGCTTAATTTCCATCCCTGACTAAGAATTAAGAACTTACCTTGGAAATGCGTCATTGTCAATGAGAGTGATGTCCTTCTCTTCATTTGTGAATGTCTTGAAAGTCCCGTCACTGAGAGGCAGCATCTTCAGACCCCTGAGGTCGTGGTAATTCTCATCGCTCAAGATGTACTGCAGCAGAGACAGTTTGTCATTGTTGGAGAGATTCGACACAACACCCCTGCGGAGAACACCCCTTACAAGAGCTGGAGTCACCCATTTCAGTGTGTCAGGGTCTGGGAAGGCCAGCTGGACAGCTCTGGAGACATGATCTGGGAAGGTGACAAGTTTTTCTCCACCTGCAATCAAGGCCCTGGTCACGGCAGCCATTGTTTCAGACGTCATGGTGTCGTTGGATGGGCACACAGCCACAGAGGGAGAAACAAACTGTCTTTCGTCTTCAGCTAGAGAGAAAATGGCGGTATTCTGTTTGAGTAGACGTTGTAGAAGGTCTTCAGCAATCCCATGCCACTTGTCTTTGTGTTTGGTCTGACTGAGATCTGGCCAGATGTTGTACACATATGAGACAGGGAGTGTGGAGCTCTTGGCTAGGTTGGTGGCATCCTGCAGCATCAGGAGGTATGTGTGAGGGAGGACCTCCTTCACCAGCAGCTCATTCCACATCGCAGCTTCATCATACTTCTGGTCTTCCTCCTGCCATTTGATGTGTCTTCTGTTGTCAGTGAGGCCGAAGCAGGCGTTCACATGGACCGGGAGGCCAGTCTTGTTGGAGTCATTGTTTGGGAGGGGCAGGAAGACGCTCAGTCTGCCATCAGTCAGGACACTCTCCTGGCTACACCGGAATGCCAAGTCAACTTGAGGGCGGAAACTCAGCTTCTTGGCCAGTGAATCTAGCTCCGGAACATTTCCCTCTTTCATGCAGCATGTTGTCACGAGCCACTTGGTCTTTGTCTGCTTCTTGCCTTCGGAAGTAGAGGTGATGGTTTTGAAGCAGGTTGACCCATCAATGTTTGACTCGTTCCTTGTCTTCAGTCCTGGATTAACTGTGGGACTTGAGGTCACTGTAAGCCGGACATTAACGGATCCTTCTGTGTTGATGTGCTGCAAGGAGACTGATGACACATTCCTCAGGAACAGAGTGCTTATGTCTGCATCCGCAATGAAGCTGTCGAAAAGCTTAACTACTTTGTCGGAGTCATACAGGTTGTCTGAGATCTCTGAGGCCTCACTGCGTAAAGGAAACCTAAAGAGTGTCCCTTTAAAGTGCTGCTCCTCTTGGATGATATCCTTCCACCTCTGGCTACTGACTAGCTTGACAACATCTCTGAATGGTTGGAACTGATCCTGCAGATTCAGTAGAGTTTCTTTGTCTTCCTCTTCCTCCAGAGACCACCGGAACCCTCCAGTTCGCTCCCCAAAGAGCTTCTCTTGGGGGTCCAGGAAGCCCAGGTACTTGGAACTGAATATGGATGGCACATCTAGAAATGATCCATATTACTGAGTGTGAATAAAATGCTGTAATTTAATGAAAAGCTGTCTATGAAGAGAAATGAAAACTTAATGTATGAGTACATTTACAGTATAGATCCATGTGCTGTGATATACCTTGTGATATAGCTAGCGCATGTTCATGGTTTGATTCTTTCGTTGTGATAATAATACTCTGAGGTTCACCTGTTATGTGGTAGACAGAGTTGAATCCGATCCCGAACCTGCCAACTTTATTTGGGTCTTTGCGTTTGACGCTCCGGCCGGTGGTCTGGATTCCCTGCCAGTCCTCTGCTGTGAACTCTGCGTTGTTGAAGGCATACAGCGCAGGACCTGCTCACAGACACGACAACATTCATACACATCAGTAGTCTGATTAATCAGGCTGTAATATACAATTCATTAGTATACACCGCATGAAGCTAATGCCTGCCAAATCATGTAAATGTTCCTTACAAGCCGGAATGTTAAATAAAATGACATTTAAACGTACTCTACCGGTTGTCTGTGCGGTTTGTCCTTCAGCTGCTCGAAATTTGAATCTGAATCTGAACATAGCTATATGGTTTGGTTTGGCACCGAGGTATAGTTCGTTTTATATTGGATATTCGGTTTTCTCTGGTCAATTGCTATTGAACCAAGCATGCCATGACAATGAAAAATGTATATTCTGAATCAGGAGGACGGAGAACAATAAACACCATTTTTTGTGTTCATTTGTTATTAAAAATCTTTTTTGGGAGGATCCTGCATGGAGTTCTGGGGAAAGGCTGTGTGCTGATCAAGCTCTGTGACAATTTTGGCCTAAATTGAACTTCACAAGTTAAAAGTACATATTTGACCTTCTAAATCAGACTGGCAATGAGTAAGGATAAGTATTCAAGTGAAAGACGGCATCAAAGAGAAGATACTCCACTATGTTCACCGTGTTTAAGTCGCTCACCGAGCCCAACTCCACGAGGTGGTAGAGGCTGCCATCACAGCCAAAACAGAGACGGCGGAGGTTCATCTCTCATGGCAAAACTGAAGTTATTTTGATGAGAAACAGCCACCTCACTCTGCAAAATGCAAACCTCTATCGATGGCATGAAGGCTACTCTAGAGAAAAATGATAAACGGATGACTCACATTGAAAAGAAAAATGAGGAACATGACGAAAAGCTAATACAACAAGACCAGGCTATTAACTACCTGATGGGCCAGGTAGAGGAATTGTAAAAGAAGGGAGACTTGTTGGAAAACTTTTCGCGTCGTAATATTATTCAAATCTTTGAGGTTGAAACCAATGCAGAAAGGGGGCAGAACATTTCTACATTTGTGGACAAGATGCTGAGGGAGGTCTTGGAAATCGATGCTGCTACACCTTTGGTCATGGAGAGGGCCCACAGAACGGCACCTGCAGCCCAGAGTAGGCCCGGAGCGAAGGACACACAGAGGCCCAGCGCTATCATCATGCACCTTCTCAACTTCTAAATGAAACAGGAGATAATGCAGCTGTCGAGAACCAAGGGACAACTATTCTACAAGGACAAGCGCATATCTATCTTCAATGACTATTCTGCAGAGCTGTTGCGGAAGAGAAAAGATTATGACGGGATCAAGAGAGAATTGGCAGCCAAAAACATCACATCCTTGCTGATGTTCCCTGCGAAGCTACACGTCACTCTTGAGAGCAAGACCCACATCTTTGATACTGTACCTGATGCCGAGTCCTTCCTGCGCTCCATTGGGATTACACCACCTTCCAGACCCAAGGACAAGGTCTGAAAAAATATGCTGACTATGTGGCAAATTGTTGGGCCCAGAAGGAGTGAGAGACAGAAGGACTCAAGGCCCAAGAAGTAGCCTAAATCTACCACAGAACATTGTCCAGTCACATTGACTATTGAAGCGACCCCTTCTTCTTAAGGACTTGAAACTACCTGGATTTATGCTCATAATTGGGAGCTTATTGCTGGACTAATTCATCAATCTTTGACCTACAGTTTGTCGGGATGATAAGGTAATTATTTAATCTGGAAAAAACAGAATAGCCTGCTTTCCTCATTCCCACTTTCTCTTTTAGTAGGCTATAGAGTAAAGATGTTTTATTTTTATTTTTATTTTATGTTGTTCTATGGCAATTACATATAGGCTACCCAAGTGTAGGTTACTGAAAATATTAACCTAAAATTTGCTGATCCTTTATTGATTTAGACAATGCTTTTGGATTACATTTAATTTCCAGCATTTAACCCTTACAAATATCTGCTATGTGTTGGAGGCAGTGTGGACAAATAGGTACTTCATCACATATATTTAGGCAATGTCTGAAAATCCTGTCTTTTTTTATCTGAAATTATCTGTGTTATACAGGACATCACAGGTATTATTATTCAACCAGACCCATGTCATCTCCTTCTAGGTATTGTTCCTGTGAATACACTCCAATCCTCTCCACTTAAATTGATAGCTTATCTTTTAGCAGCAGCAAGGAAATGTGTAACAAAATGCTGGAAAAATGAACATGCACCCTCAAAAGATATGTGGTTAGGTCTATGCGGGGAACTTGCTGACATGGAGAGAATTACATCAATCTTGCAACATAGACAGAATAGGTAAGAAGGTGTTTGGTCAGAGTTCCTGACATATCGTACTGGTCTTATTCTGTCATTTCTGGGGTTTTTGTTTGTTTCTGTTGTTTTTCTGTGGCTTTTTCCAAATTGTATTCTTATTCAGACTCTTGAAATATTTGCTTTATACAGCCAAGATGTACCCTTAACATGTGAATGTAATTACGCTCCTTTGTAAAGACAGCAAAGATATGTTGTTTATGTATGGTACATGTTCTTTATGTGCTCTTGAATAAATATTAATACAAAATAAACAAATATTTTGGGGATTTCAATCTTTCAAAAAAAATCAAAATTTCTAAAAATAAATACATGTGGATTGTTCTCCATCCTCCCCTGATTCAGAATATACCATTGTCATGCATTCATTGTCATGGCAAGCTTGAATATTCAATATAAAACAATCTTTACCTTGGTGCATTTTGAGCAGCTGAAGGACAAACCGCAAAGACAACCGGTAAAGTATGTTTAAATGTAATTATATTCAACATTATCTAGGTTTCCATCCAATTCGCGACAGATTTTCATGCGGATATTCTCAAATCTGCATAGCAAAAATGTGCTTGATGACATAGCACTTTTGCACTTAAGTTTTCATGTACCATTTAAAAAAGATATATGTTTGTGTTTCCATCACATTTTCAACTCTACATGGTTTTGATAAATAGCATACTTGCACAAACTGGTTTTGGCGCATGGTCTATACATTTACATTTGAGTCATTAGACAACAGTTCGCTGATAAAGTGGACAAGGTAGGTTATATGATGAGATATATGATATGATAAAAACAAGATCATTTTATTGTATTAATTGTCAGCCAAGCACCGATCATCATGTCACCAGCATCATTCATTGATAGGGCCTAGCCTACCCTCGATATTTATTGGAAATGTGCATGAAGCTCGTCACGGTGCAGTTAACTTATTTAATAACTTAACTTATGGTGGTTATGTTCATCATAACTTATTCCATATGCATATGAACTCTGTATGCTTTTCCATGTCTTGGTGGTAGTAGGCTACAACCATAGAGAATGATAGAGGCCTCTAGTGGCCAAAAGGCAGTTTTAGCATTGCCATATGGCAGTGCCATATAGCCCCACAGTGGAGGTGTCATTATACCCATAAAACCTAGCGGTCAAACAGGGATATGGTTCCAATCATTTCCCCACCATTTTTCCCATAGAGGATTTTAGAAACACTTCAAATAAGGGCTGTGTTTCGTGTAGGCTTACCCTGGCGTGACGTTTTGATAACCATGTAAATGTCTCTCGGACAAGGTGACTTTTATCAATATATTTACTCTCAGATTCAAAAATAAAATAAAATGGTATTTGTCACATGCGCCGAATACAACAGGTGTGGACCTTACCGTGAAATGCTTACTTACAAGCCTTTAGCCAACAATGCAGATTTTGTTTTTAAGTAAGAAAGAAAATATTAGCTAAAAAAAATTAACATATAAACTAAAGTAAGAAAAAAGTAACACAATAAATAACAATAATGAGGCTATATACAGGAGGTACTGGTACTGAGTCAATGTGCGCGGGTACAGGTTAGTTGAGGTAATTGAGGTAATATGTAGGTAGGGGTAAAGTGACTATGCATAGATAGTAAACAGCAAGTAGCAGCAGCGTATAAAAGGGGGTCAATGCAAATAGTCCAGGTAGCCATTTGATTAACTGTTTAGCAGTCTTATGGCTTGGGGGTAGAAGCTGTTCAGGAGCCTTTTGGACCTAGACTTGGCTCTCCAGTATGCTTGCCGTGCGGTAGTAGAGAGAACAGTCTATGACTACGTTGGCTGGTGTCTTTGACAAGACCAATTTTAGGGCCTTCCGCTTACACTGCCTGGTATAGAGGTCCTGGAAGGCAAGAAGCTTGGCCCCAGTGATGTACTGGGCCGTAAGCACTACCCTATGTAGCGCCGTGTAGTCGGATACCGAGCAGTTGTCATCCCAAGCGGAGATGCAACCAGTCAGGATGCTCTCGATGGTGCAGCTGTATAACTTTTTGAGGATCTGAAGACCTATGCCAAATCTTTTCAGTCTCCTGAGGGGGAGTAGGCGTGCCCTCTTCATGATTGTCTTGGTGAGTTTGGACCATGATAGTTTGTTAGTGATGTGGACGCCAAGGAACTTGAAGCTCTCGACCTGCTCCACTACAGTTGTGTTGATTTGAATGGGGGCGTGCTCGGCCCATTCTTTTTCTGTAGTCCACGATCAGCTCTTTTGTCTTGCTCACATTGAGGGAGAAGTTGTTGTCCTGGCACCACACTGCCAGGTCTCTGACCTCCTCCCTGTATGCTGTCTCATCGTTGTCAGTGATCAGGCCTACCACCATTGTGTCGTCGGCAAACTTAATGATGGCGTTGGAGTCGTGCGTGGCCACGCGGTCGTGGGTGAACAGTTGTTGCCTACCCTTACCACCTGGGTGCGGCCCGTCAGGAATCCAGTTGTGGAGGGAGGTGTTTAGTCCCAGGGTCCTTAGCTTAGTGATGAGCTTTGTGGGCACTATGGTGTGGAACGCTGAGCTGTAGTCAACAAACAGCAATCTCACATAGGTGTTCCTTTTGTCCAGGTGGGAAAGGGCAGTGTGGAGTGCAATAGAGATTGCGTGGATCTGTTGGGGTGGTATGCGAATTGGAGTCGGTCCAGGGTGTCTGGCATAACCAGCCTTTCAAAGCATTTCATGGCTACAGATGTGAGTGCTACAGGGCGATAGTCATTTGAGACAGGTTACCTTGGCATTCTTGGGCACAGAGATTATTGTGGTCTGCTTGAAACATGTAGGTATTACATACTGGGTCAGGGAGAGGTTGAAAATGTAAGTGAAGACACTTGCCAGTTGGTCAGTGCATGCTCTGAGTAAGCGTCCTGGTAATCCGTCTGGCCATGCAGCCTTGTGAATGTTGACCTGTTTAAAGGTCTTACTCACATCGGCTATGGAGAGCGTGATCACACAGTCGTCCGGAACTGCTGTTGCTCTCATGCATGGTTCAGTGTTGCTTGCCTCGAATCAGGCATAAAAGGCATTTTGCTTGTCTGGTAGGCTTGCGTCACTGGGCAGCACGCGGCTGGGTTTCCCTTTGTAATCTGTAATAATTTGCAAGCCCTGCCACAACCGACGAGCATCAGAGCTGGTGCTGTGCTGTTTGTTGCTACTTGGCTACCTGCCAAACTATTCACGTTTTACTTTTAATAAACGTTTAATCAATCTCTGTGTTCAACAAATTTACCAACTTTTTAGTTTTGTCCTCACTCATCTTTTTTCGTTAAACTTTTTCACCCCGGACGTTTATCCCGAGACAGAAGAGTCATTTTCCTGTGCGTTTTAGCTGCCAACTTTACGTTATTTTCCTTTTTTCCATCGCAACTTTTTTCCCTTATTCAACTTTTTCACTCCGGACGCTTTATCTGGACATGGTTCATCAACATCTTCAACAGCCGAAGCTAAGTAGTAACATTAACATGATGTCTTCTAATTGCAGTCGCTGTACTCATAATATACAGGAGAACGATCGCCTTACGGCGAGAATAGCTGTGCTACAAGCCCAGCTTCAGACGCAATCGTTAGGCAAGGGTAATCTCAGTGTAGGAAAGGAAGAAACAGCGTCTGTGCCACCAGTAAGTACAGACAGTAACGTTAGTATAAATCCCCCCGCACAGTCCCCGCAGCCGGACAACTTTCTCATGGCTTCTGGAGGGAAATACTGTTGGAATGCTCAACCGGTGTCGCTCATTCAGCTGACAGAAACCTTCAACCGGTTTTCCCCATTATGTAGCGAGTCGGAGTCTGAGTCTGAGTCTTCTCTAGTCTCTACTCCTCCCGTTACGGGGTCTGAGACGCCGAAGGCTCCCACCATTAGCTCTGACAAATTGAAAACCCTAGTCATTGGCGACTCCATTACCCGCAGTATTAGACTTAAAACGAATCACCCAGCGATCATACACTGTTTACCAGGGGGCAGGGCTACCGACGTTAAGGCTAATCTAAAGATGGTGCTGGCTAAAGCTAAAACTGGCGAGTGTAGAGAGTATAGAGATATTGTTATCCACGTCGGCACCAACGATGTTAGGATGAAACAGTCAGAGGTCACCAAGTGCAACATAGCTTCAGCGTGTAAATCAGCTAGAAAGATGTGTCGGCATCGAGTAATTGTCTCTGGCCCCCTCCCAGTTAGGGGAAGTGACGAGCTCTACAGCAGAGTCTCAGCACTTAATCGCTGGTTGAAAACTGTTTTCTGCCCCTCCCAAAAGATAACATTTGTGGATAATTGGCCCTCTTTCTGGGACTCACCCACAAACAGGACCAAGCCTGACCTGCTGAGGAGTGACGGACTCCATCCTAGCTGGAGGGGTGCTCTCCTCTTATCTACCAACATAGATAGGGCTCTAACTCCTCTAGCCCCACAGTGAAATAGGGTGCAGGCCAGGCAGCAGGCTGTTAGCCAACCTGCCAGCTTAGTGGAGTCTGCCAATAGCACAGTCAGTGTAGTCAGCTCAGCCATACCCATTGAGACTGTGTCTGTGCCTCGACCTAGGTTGGGCAAAACTAAACATGGCGGTGTTCACCCTAGCAATCTTATTAGGATAAAGACCTCCTCCATTCCTGCCATTATTGAAAGAGATCGTGATACCTCACATCTCAAAATAGGGTTACTTAATGTTAGATCCCTCACTTCAAAGGCAGTCATAGTCAATGAACTAATCACTGATCATAATCTTGATGTGATTGGCCTGACTGAAACATGGCTTAAGCCTGATGAATTTGCTGTGTTAAATGAGGCCTCACCTCCTGGTTACACTAGTGACCATATTCCCCGTGCATCCCGCAAAGGCGGAGGTGTTGCTAACATTTACGATAGCAAATTTCAATTTACAAAAAAAAAAATGGCGTTTTCATCTTTTGAGCTTCTAGTCATGAAATCTATGCAGCCTACTCAATCACTTTTTATAGCTACTGTTTACAGGCCTCCTGGGCCATATACAGCGTTCCTCTCTGAGTTTCCTGAGTTCCTATCAGACCTTGTAGTCATAGCAGATCATATTCTAATTTTTGGTGATTTTAATATTCACATGGAGAAGTCCACAGACCCACTCCAAAAGTCTTTCGGAGCCATTATCGACTCAGTGGGTTTTGTCCAACATGTCTCTGGACCTACTCACTGCCACAGTCATACTCTGGACCTAGTTTTGTCCCATGGAATAAATGTTGTAGATCTTAATGTTTTTCCACAAAATCCTGGACTATCGGACCACCATTTTATTACATTTGCAATCGCAACAAATAATCTGCTCAGACCCCAACCAAGGAGCATCAAAAGTCGTGCTATAAATTCTCAAACAACACAAAAATTCATTGATGCCCTTCCAGACTCCTTCTGCCTACCCAAGGACGTCAGAGGACAAAAATCAGTTAACCACTTAACTGAGGAACTCAATTTAACCTTGCGCAATACCCTAGATGCAGTTGCACCCCTAAAAACGAAAAACATTTGTCATAAGAAACTAGCTCCCTGGTATACAGAAAATACCCGAGCTTTGAAGCAAGCTTCCAGGAAATTGGAACGGAAATGGCGCCACACCAAACTGGAAGTCTTCCGACTAGCTTGGAAAGACAGTACCGTGCAGTACCGAAGAGCCCTCACTGCTGCTCGATCATCCTACTTTTCCAACTTAATCGAGGAAAATAAGAACAATCCAAAATTTCTTTTTGATACTGTTGCAAAGCTAACTAAAAAGCAGCATTCCCCAAGAGAGGATGGCTTTCACTTCAGCAGTGATAAATTCATGAACTTCTTTGAGGAAAAGATCATGACCATTAGAAAGCAAATTACGGACTCCTCTTTGAATCTGCGTATTCCTCCAGGGCTTAGCTGTCCTGGATCTGCACAGCTCTGCGAGGGCCTGGGATCGGGAGAGACACTTAAGTGTTTTAGTACTATATCTCTTGACACAATGATGAAAATAATCATGGCCTCTAAACCTTCAAGCTGCATACTGGATCCTATTCCTACTAAACTGCTGAAGGAGCTGTTTCCTGTGCTTGGCCCTCCTATGTTGAACATAATAAACAGCTCTCTATCCACCGGATGTGTACCAAACTCACTAAAAGTGGCAGTGATAAAGCCTCTCTTGAAAAAGCCAAACCTTGACCCGGAAAATATAAAAAACTATCGGCCTATATCGAATCTTCCATTCCTCTCAAAAATTTTAGAAAAAGCTGTTGCGCAGCAACTCACTGCCTTTCTGAAGACAAACAATGTATACGAAATGCTTCAGTCTGGTTTTAGACCCCATCATAGCACTGAGACTGCACTTGTGAAGGTGGTAAATGACCTTTTAATGGCGTCAGACCGAGGCTCTGCATCTGTCCTCGTGCTACTAGACCTTAGTGCTGCCTTTGACACCATCGATCACCACATTCTTTTGGAGAGACTGGAAACCCAAATTGGTCTACACGGACAAGTTCTGGCCTGGTTTAGATCCTACCTGTCGGAAAGATATCAGTTTGTCTCTGTGAATGGTCTGTCCTCCGACAAATCAACTGTACATTTCGGTGTTCCTCAAGGTTCCGTTTTAGGACCACTATTGTTTTCACTATATATTTTACCTCTTGGGGATGTTATTCGAAAACATAATGTTAACTTTCACTGCTATGCGGATGACACACAGCTGTACATTTCAATGAAACATGGTGAAGCCCCAAAATTGCCCTCGCTAGAAGCCTGTGTTTCAGACATAAGGAAGTGGATGGCTGAAAACTTTTTACTTTTAAACTCGGACAAAACAGAGATGCTTGTTCTAGGTCCCAAGAAACAAAGAGATCTTCTGTTAAATCTGACAATTCATCTTGATGGTTGTAAAGTCGTCTCAAATAAAACTGTGAAGGACCTCGGCGTTACTCTTGACCCTGATCTCTCTTTTGACGAACATATCAAGACTGTTTCAAGGACAGCTTTTTTCCATCTACGTAACATTGCAAAAATCAGAAATTTTCTGTCCAAAAATGATGCAGAAAAATTAATCCATGCATTTGTTACTTCTAGGTTAGACTACTGCAATGCTCTATTTTCCGGCTACCCGGATAAAGCACTAAATAAACTTCAGTTAGTGCTAAATACGGCTGCTAGAATCCTGACTAGAACCAAGAAATTTGATCATATTACTCCAGTGCTAGCTTCCCTACACTGGCTTCCTGTTAAGGCAAGGGCTGATTTCAAGGTTTTACTGTTAACCTATAAAGCGTTACATGGGCTTGCTCCTACCTATCTTTCCGAGTTGGTCCTGCCGTACATACCAATACGTACGCTACGGTCACAAGATGCAGGCCTCCTAATTGTCCCTAGAATTTCTAAGCAAACAGCGGGAGGCAGGGCTTTCTCCTATAGATCTCCATTTTTATGGAACAGTCTGCCTACCCATGTGAGAGACGCAGACTCGGTCTCAACCTTTAAGTCTTTACTGAAGACTTATCTCTTCAGTAGGTCATATGATTGAGTGTAGTCTGGCCCAGGAGTGTGAAGGTGAACGGAAAGGCTGGAGCAACGAACAGCCCTTGCTGTCTCTGCCAGGCCGGTTCCCCTCTCCACTGGGGTTCTCTGCCTCTAACCCTGTTGCAGGGGCTGAGTCACTGGCTTGCTGGTGCTCTTTCATGCCGTCCCTGGGAGGGGTGCGTCACTTGAGTGGGTTGAGTTACTGACGTGATCTTCCTGTCTGGGTTGGCGCCCCCCCCTTGGTTTGTGCTGTGGTGGAGACCTCTGTGGGCTATACTCGGCCTTGTCTCAGGATTGTAAGTTGGTGGTTGGGGATATCCCTCTAGTGGTGCGGGGGCTGTGCTTTGGCGGAGTGGGTGGGGTTATATCCTTCCTGTTTGGCCCTGTCCGGGGGTTTCTTCGGATGGGGCCACAGTGTCTCCGGACCGCTCCTGTCTCAGCCTCCAGTATTTATGCTGCAGTAGTTTATGTGTCGGGGGGCTGGGGTTAGTTGGTTATACCTGGAGTACTTCTCCTGTCTTATCCAGTGTCCTGTGTGAATTTAAGTATGCTCTCTCTAATTCTCTCGTTCTCTCTTTCTCTCTGAGAACCTGAGCCCTAGGACCATACGTCAGGACTACCGGGCATGATGACACCTTGCTGTCCCCAGTCCGCCTGGCCTTGCTGCTATTCCAGTTTCAACTGTTCTGCCTGCGGCTACGAAACCCCTACCTGTCCCAGACCTGCTGTTTTCAACTCTTAATGATCGGCTATGAAAAGCCAACTGAGAGACCTGAGCCCTAGGACCATACGTCGGGACTACCGGCCGTGGTGACTCCTTGCTGTCCCCAGTCCGCCTGGCCTTGCTGCTATTCCAGTTTCAACTGTTCTGCCTGCGGTTATGGAACCCCTACCTGTCCCAGACCTGCTGTTTTAAACTCTTAATGATCGGCTATGAAAAGCCAACTGAGATTTATTCCTGATTATTATTTGACCATGCTTGTCACTTATGAACATTTTTGAACATCTTGGCATGGTTCTGTTATAATCTCCACCCGGCACAGCCAGAAGAGGACTGGCCACCCCTCATAGCCTGGTTCCTCTCTAGGTTTCTTCCTAGGTTTTCGCCTTTCTAGGGAGTTTTTCCTAGCCACCGTGCTTCTACACCTGCATTACTAGCTGTTTGGGGTTTTAGGCTGGGTTTCTGTACAGCACTTCGAGATATTAGCTGATGTAAGAAGGGCTATATAAAATAAAATTGATTGATTGATTGATTGATTGATTGTAGTTTTCAATCTTAGTCCTGTATTGACGCTTTGCCTGATTGATGGTTCGTCGGAGGGCATAGTGGGATTTCTTATAAGTATCCAGATTAATGTCCCGCTCCTTGAAAGCGGCAGCTCTAGCCTTTAGCTCAGTGCGGATGTTGCCTGTAATCCATGGCTTCTGGTTGGGATATGTACGTGTACAGTCACTGTGGGGATGACGTCGTCGATGCGCTTATTGATGAAGCCGGTGACTGATGAGATATACTCCTCAATGCCATCGGATGAATCCCGGGAAAATATTCCAGTCTGTGCTAGCAAAACAGTCCTGTAGCGTAGCATCCCCGTCATCAAACCACTTCCGTATTGAGCGAGTCACTGGTACTTCCTGCTTGAGTTTTTGCTTGTACGCAGGAATCAGGAGGATAGAATTATGGTCAGATTTGCCAAATGGAGGGAGTATGTGAGCTTTGTACGTGCCTCTGTGTATGTAGTAAAGGTGGTCCAGAGTTTTTTCCCCCTATAGTTGCACATGTTACATGCTGGTAGAAATGAGGTCAAACGGATTTAAATTTTCCTGTATTAGTCCCCGGCCACTAGGAGCGCCGCTTCTGGGTGAGCATTCTCTTGTTTGCTTATAGCCTTATACAGTTCGTTGAGTGCGGTCTAAGTGCCTGCATCAGTTTGTTGTGGTAAATAGACAGCTAAGAAAAATATAGTTGAAAACTCTTGGTAAATAGTGTGGTCTACAGCTTATCATGAGGTAATCTACCTCAGGCGAGCAAAACCTCGAGACTTCCTTAATATTACAGATCGCGCACCAGCTGTTGTTAACAAATAGACATATACCACCACCCCTTGTCTTACCGAGGTTGCTGTTCTGTCTTGCCGATGCACGGAAAACCCAGCTAACTGTATATTATCCATGACCTCGTTCAGCCACAACTCTGTGAAACGTAAGATATTACAGTTTTTTATGTCCCGTTGGTAGGGTAGTCTCGAACGGAGCTCATCCAGTTTATTCTCCACTGATTGCACGTTCGCCAGTAGGACGGATGGTAAAGGCACTCGCCGACGAATTCTCACCAAGCACCCGGATCTGCGCCCCCTGTATCAACATCTCCTCTTCATGCGAATGACTGGGATTTGGGCCTGGTCCGGGAGGAGCCGTAAATGTTTGCCTCTGATTCGTTAAAGAATTTTTTTTTAAATAATCTTTGTCCAATCCGAGGTGAGTAATCGCTTCTCTGATGTCCAGAAGCTCTTTTCGGTCATTAGAGACGGTGGCAGAAACATTATGTTGAAAACAAGTTACCAATAACGCGAAAAAACACACAGAATAGCACAATTGGTTTGAAGCCCGTAAAATGGCAGCCAGCCCCTCTGGCGCCATTACACAAAGTAGACATCATGCAAAACTAGAAATCCCTGCAAGCTCCTGCACCTCATCTCTAGCTGACACATTTGCTAACAGGTATTGTTTAAATTTAAAACTTGCACAAGACAGTTCACAGAATTGTCAATTTAAAGAAATGTAGCCAATTTATTAATTACTACATTTAGCTAACATTAGATAGTTAATCCAGAGATTCTTACCTTTGCCTCGATTCGGCAGTCTATCCAGATAATCATGGCATTTGCAGTTCTTTATGATAGCCACATTAGCAGCTAATTAGCATTTCATTTTTGGGTGGTAAATACAGGTGAATATATTGTCAAACAGGACAACAGTGAAAGTTTATCCCTCTTTTCAACGCTTTTGCTTCAATATCTGTTTTGTAACCAAATCAAAAGTGGTGCGGCACTGCCACACCAGATTGAAAAGTGTTTGGGAAAATGCCAGCTCGCCACACGTTTGCTGGTGGCACTACATGAGCCAGAGAGAGCATGTTTCCTGATACTGTGACCACTTGTATTTTTGCATTCCAGCATGATGATTAAGATCCTAATTAGTTCTGCACCTGATATTAATCTGGGCATGTTGCCCTCTGTTTTATGCTGGTTTTCTGATGTTGTGGTAGAAAGCCCTTTCTACATTTGCTGCCTAATGTGGGGTTATTAAAGTGAAATCACAACACTTTCATAAACCCACTGTCAAACATCAATGTTATTTATTTTCAATCTTCACAAATATGAAACAACCATACCTTGGTACTTCCCCAGGCCTTCAGTCTTGAGGCTCTGTCTGCCGTAGCATCTCTCATCATGGAGGAACACCACCTCCGACGCCCCAGCATCATCCGCATTCTGGATCAGCTCCTATAGTCACAGCACAGATAAGGATAGGGATGTTTTCATAGGTGCCTTTAACTAACGTTTACATAGTAAATTGGTCTATGGCCAATTTATACAAAACAAGATGCTCACACTTCTCCTTTAAATGTAGTGGCTGTGATGATATTTACTTTAGGTTTACATTTTGGTGATTTAGCAGACGCCTTTTCCACAGTGATCAGATGACTACATGATTAATTGATTGATTGATCAAACTCACCTTTAATATCTGTCCTCCATCAGGGTACCTCCGCAGGATGTCCTTCAGGTAATCAATGAAAGGGGGTGCTGTTGCACCAAATGAATTTCTAAACAACAGGTGAAGTGAAGAAGTTCGATATTTTAGCTTTCACAGTATTGTTGAAAATGTAATCTCATTTTACTACATCTCTACCTTCTATCTACTCAAAGTCGGAATAAATTGTTTTAATTATATAAACTCGTAAAATATAACTGATATTTACACACACACCAAGCAACTAGTTCAAATGTTCAACTGGTTTTTAAAAATTACACTGGGAAAAGTATTCCTCTCACCGTGTTTTTCTCTTACTCAAACTCATCCTTCCACATCGTAGGATTCTACAGGAACCAATTAATTCATTATAATAATCAGGGTTATAATATGGCAGGACAGATATAACTGTACTAATCAGACAGAAAACAAAAATGTCCCTATAGTTTTGAAATGTATTAATCAATGTTCAAGTAGCCTAGTCATAATTATAACCTATTACTAAATGAAAATTATCATAAGACATTTGTTGTATTTAAGATACATAAATTGATCAATTTACCTCAATCATTTCATGAAGTGTGAAGAAGTCATCTGAAGCCACCTATGTCGTCAGACTAAATATTCTTAGTAGGCTCATGGTTTATATGCCCTGCGGTCAATCTGTATGAGCCCCTCCATAACCCATCCATACAGTTTCAGTTTATCAGTATTTCCTCCTCAGTGGTGAAATGAAACTTTACAGCCCATGTTATCTTGTTCTGTCCGGCCAGAATCTGAATAACAAAGTTGTTTCGTTTTCCTGCCTTGTCATGTCTGAAACGAAACTTTGATCAGAATGTGATTGTGATTCAAACAAGGGAGACTGTGAGCTATAGGGCGGGACTCTCTAAAAACACGCCACTTCGATACATGTGACTTTTCGTAGCAGGTTCGGAGAGCATTTTCGCTAAACCTTTTCCTGAACTTAACCTAATTCTCATAACCTGCTACGTTAATTATCCTAACCTGCTGCGAAAAGTATCGAAGTGGCGTGTTTTTAGGGTGTCCCCTATACATACACCATTATCAAATGTGTGTTCGCACAAAAAAAGACTAAACCTTGGTATTTATCAGTTTTGAATTTGACGGGAAAATGTGCTTATCTTGACACAAATCGCAGACCATGCATATGCACAACTTCTAGTGATCAATTGTATTGCAAGCAAATATTGTTATTTTGAGGGAAATTTAAGTGTTTGATGCACAGGAATTATCATAATGGTAGGCTAATAAAAACATTTGAAGGTAGGCCTAATGATAAAACAGGTGCATTTGCCATTGGTAAGGAGATCGCATAGCAGCTTGTAGCCTAATGTGTTAATTTTACATTACATTTTAGTCATTTAGCAGACGCTCTTATCCATAGCGACTTACAGTTAGTGAGTGCATACATTATTTTTATTTTATTTTTTATTTTTCATACTGGCCCCCCGTGGGAATCGAACCCACAACCCTGGCGTTGCAAACGCCATGCTCTACCAACTGAGCTACATCCCTGCCGGCCATTCCCTCCCCTACCCTGGACGACGCTGGGATAATTTGAGTTTTATTATATGGGCCTACATATAAATAATATTTTCTGACATGACTGCTTTATTCCCGCTACACAACAAATATCAGGCTACCATTTATCTATCCACTGCTCATTCAGCTAAGCATGCTCGAAAGTAAATAGACCCGTAGCCTTGACAGTATGGGTAGGCTCCAGTATTGCTGTGAGATAGATGCGCAACATCATAGCCTATATAATCTCAGAGCCTATACCAAGACAGGAGATAGAAACAAACATCTATTGACAAACAAAATATTGAACATCAATTCATCTTTTGCATAGTGTGGGCTGTAGCATTTACTTTTAAATTGTTTGAATAGACAATCAATCATGCAGAATGCGCGGCCAGTGTTTGGCAGTCGCTATAGGCGGCATGCAATTTTTGTTTGAAAAAGTAACTTGCAAAATATTAACACATTCTGCCCACAACTCTACAGAAATGTGATAGAATTTGATTATTTTAGATATGGACATGGCCCAATTCCAACATTTCCAAATCATACAGCAAATTAGGACCTTTTTGTTACCATAAAAGGTGAATTATGGGCGTTTTCCTGGCAGGGTAGCGCTCATTCACTAGTACACATTTATAATATGGTTCTGATTTATCAATGAAAACATGCTTATGTTGTGTGCAACAATAATTTGTGGGGCACGCAAATCCTAGAATCTCCATTTGCCATAATTTAGTAAGACATTTAGGCACGTTTCATAATTGATGACGTGGATGGTTTGGGGTTAATCGCCCCCTCCCTCCTGTAATTCTCACATAAATCCCTTTGTCACTCAAAAACATTTAAACATTTTCCCTGGATGCCACTAGACTTGCTCAACTAAAAATGTCATGGCTCAGCTCAACTTTTTAAATTATTCCAAAACGATTTTGAGGTAGGCGTACATTGATCTAATAATTTGTAATTTAGAAAAAGTTATATATATATAATCTAATGAAGTTTTAATATATACCAGTATGGGAGCCTAAAGGTAAATAATCCACTTGGTTAGAGTCCCCAATTGAAACAATATTTTCACATGACCCTCTCCTTCAACCTGGTCTCAGAGCTTTTCATATTATTCACTATGTAAAACCCGAGATACCCATTAAGTATTATATGTTAAGTTTGGTATGGTATGTATTAACTTGTGAATGTCCATCACCCATTTCGTATGATATGTTACGAAATTACGAATTACAATTCGTATTATATGTAAGGAATTTGCGAATTTGCAAATGTACAATATGTTCCGAATTTGCAAATGTACAATATGTTACGACTTTGCAAAACGTACTTTTATGTTACGAATTTGCAAAACAAATGATACAAAATGCTACAAATTCTACCTAGGTGGCTAGGGGTTAAGGTTAAATTGAGGAATTAGGTTAAAGAGTTAAGGGTAAAGGTAGTGACGTCCCAAGCATTCAGGATAGCGCTAATCATGCGACCACAGACGTTCGTTTCGCCTAGCCGAGTTCTGCTTGAAGCAAACCGAATCTATGTATGCGGACTCGTATGGGACCTATGTATCCCACTCGCAGTTTTTTCTGGTTCATATATAGTCAAAGAACTAAGCAGGCCAGACCCAGCTGCTATCGCGTTGGTGTCTAAAGGAGAGCCACCGTGTTATAAGCAGACTGGAACTGACTGGATAATTTTTTTTTATCGTAAACGGCCTGAGTAAACTATCTTCATTTATCCACCATCTTTGGTAAAAACCACTGATTTTAGCCTAGCATTGGAGCAGCAGTAGACACAAACCCGCCTCTGCAGATCAGCTGTCGTCGTTTCTCTGATTGTGGTCATTACCCTAATTATGGGAGTCGCCAGTGAAGGTGCGTCGTAAGTAGCCTATGCTGATAATATAGCCCACTACAGAATATGTATTCAGCATGGTTTATTTGCAGCAAATTAAACATGATAGTCGCTGTATTTAGCAGCATCAGAAAGGCAGGGTCTATTTTCCTTCTCGCTACACGGCCATATATGATGTCCACTTCAAGCCAGGAAACAGAAGGCGCACACAGAAGACAGTGTAATATGCCGACCTCAACATTACATAGGCATATAGGTTACTACATGATTGTCGGTGAAAATGTTCCGTTTGTATAAGTATCAGCGCGGGGACTGGTAGGCTACACCAGAGAGGAAGAAGCGAAGCGAGAGGGTCCACTCCCATCAAAATCTGTTCACGCGGAAATACAGCGATAAGCAGACCGTCTACGTTCCCGCCTTTGGGACAACGACTCCCATTGTTAGGGCGGAGACAGACCATCTCGTCATTATATACACTATCTCTGGCTACACCAGCAATGATGGCCGCTTCTCATCTTCCAGGCAAACAATTTCACACCAGTGTGCAAGGGGGGCGGCTATTTTAAACTAATAATTTAAACTCAGCTGTTTTATCTACGTTATTTGGTAAACAAATAAAACATAAAACGAATATAACGAAAGATGCATGTTGTTGTACAGAGATGCTCGTTGTATCTAGGCTACATGGCGTGATTTCATGAACGTGTTCGGAAAATGTGATTCGGTGCCTGCCAGTGATTGGCATGCATCCAATATTCTTGTCTGACTGCTGTGCTATAGCCTTGAACTGTGAATAAAGTACAGAATAATTTAAATAATAGTGCAACATTATTAAAGTACTTAAGTCAAAATACTTTAAAGTTCTACTTAAGTCGTTTTTAGGGGTATCTGTACTTTACTTTACTATTTATGTTTGACTACTTTTACTTAACTACATTCCTAAAGAAAATAATGTACTTTTTACTCCATACATTTTCCCTGACACCCAAAAGTACTTGTTACATTTAGAATGCTTAGCAGGACAGGAAAATGGTCCAATTCACACACTTATCAAGAGAACATCCCTGGTCATCCCTACTACCTCTGATCTGGCAGACTCACTAAACACAAATGCTTAGTTTGTAAATTATGTCTGAGTGTTGGAGTGTGCCCCTGGCTATCCGTAAATAAATTAAAAAAAACAAGAAAATCGTGCCGTCTGGTTTGCTTAATATAAGAAATGTGAAATTATTTTTTACTTTTGATAAAGTATATTTTTGCAATTACATTTACTTTTGATACTTAAGTATATTTAAAACCAAATACTTTTAGACTTTTACTCAAGTAGTATTTTACTGGGTGACTTTCACTTTTACTTGAGTCATTTTCTATTAAGGTATCTTTACTCAAGTATGACAATTGGGTACTTTTTCCACCACTGGCAACAGCTACTTCGTATAGGCTAACAATGTCAGTGAGAGGAGCCATGGTGATGGCACTTTTGTCCTTCGCGCACTTTACGCAGTAGGCTACTGTAGTGATTGGCAACAAATTATTGGTCCAAAGAGACACTTTGATGCTGCACTGTGCAGTGTTACCATTCTTATCAACACATTTTGCTGTCAGAGCATTACTATAAGCGAATTCCCATAGAAAGTTCAATAAACGTTAACATTGTTGTTTCACTTGATAGTGAGAACTATCACTCATGCATACCTATATGTTTTCTACTTTCAGGTTTGAAGAGGAAGAGAAACACCTTGTCATGATGAAACCTTTGACTAACTGTCAGCAGGGTTAATGTGTGTTTAATCCAAACACAAACCCGGGTGTTAGTGCCACTGCCAACCCCATGCCCAGGAGTAGATACAGGTGTTAGTGTCAACCCCATGTCAAGTAGACACACCTCCTCTCCAACCATGAGGCCTGACAACAACAACAACAGTGTGCTGGA